TGGTGTAAATGGGGTGGCTCCGCGGGGGTATATGCGGGGTGGTGTTGGGGGTGTGTGTGGCTCCGCGGGGAGAGGGAGATGGGGGCGGCGATGGTGTAAATGGGGTGGCTCCGCGGGGGTATATGCGGGGTGGTGTTGGGGGTGTGTGTGGCTCCGCGGGGAGAGGGAGATGGGGGCGGCGATGGTGTAAATGGGGTGGCTCCGCGGGGGTATATGCGGGGTGGTGTTGGGGGTGTGTGTGGCTCGGCCGCGGGGGACATGGGGGGGTGTATGGGTGCGTGTTGGGGGAGGGATGCGTAGAGGGATGTCAGCCGCAGGGCTGTGCTGTGGGAGAGCCGGGCTGGTTTCCCGCGGCGGGAGGGCAGCTGCGGAGGGCTGAGGGGTCGCTCTCTCCCCTGCCGCTGACTTCCAGGTGGGTCGCTGACAGGCAGGTTCCCGCGGCCTCTGTCCATACTCCGCCCGCTTCACTCCCTCCCCCCGCCTGGGCTCCTCCCTCTCTCGCTTCTCCTAATTGCCCCCTTTGGCTCCCTCACCCCGCGTGTCTGACTGGGCCCACTCTGCCTCGCCTGCGTGCCCCCCGCTCTCCCCCGTTACCCTTCGCGGGAGGCAGTTACTGCTCGGGGCGGGGCGGCAGGTGCGAGGCAGCGCTGCTGACAGCCTCCTCCTTCCGCCGCTTGTCCGGCTGCGCGGCAAAGCCGGAGGGGTGAGAGGGGGAAGAACAGGCAGCTTTGCCTGTAAGCTCAGTTTTCCTCCAAGTCGCCCCTGGCAGCCACTAGGGGCTAGGGAAAGCCCAGCTTGCTCCTTGCAGGCCCTCTCCAAGAGGCAACCTATGGGCTTGTCATATCACCCCCGTTACAGAGTCTTTGCAGATCTTACTCACACACACAATTTAAAGTATGGGCACCAGTTGCTGGCCTCGTGCGAAGACTGTTCCTGGAGGGCAGCAAGGGGTGCACCAACACTGAGCACAAGAAGGAGGCTGGTGAACCACCTTGGCAAAGACATCCACTAAATTAATATAACCATTTACTCTTTCACATCTGCGGCCCGATCCCAGCTGCTACTTACATAGCAACTCCTAATCTGCAGGTTGTTGACTCAGTTTCTGACACTCAGCTGGGCTTGTGATTTCCTGTATACAGTAATTGTAAGTGGGCTGGATGTAATCACTGGACTATTTGTCCCCTCAACCAGGAAGCTTTCAACTTTAGTTCCCTCTAAAGATGTAATCTCAAAATTCGAAAAACAGCAAGGATTGCTTTACCTGATCTCCTAACTCTCATTTCTATGTCTCATCACCATAGGCCCTCAACAGCAGCCCTAGGGGTTTAGGGACCCCTGCAGAAAAATGGTACCATTTCTGGATGCCAGCAACACTGAGACCACCAGGATACTCCTTTGTAATAGAGTGGTAGCAGCAGAGCTAACAAATTATGACAGTAATTTATAATCCACCTCCTTTTTCACACAGTAATGGCTTCCAACTTGTGGCCAGCTGTTCTCTTCACTGTAGTTGTCTCCAACTGCCATGGAATCTTTAAGGCCAAGTGATCTCACTCCAGCCACAATCTGGGGTAATGCTATTTAGAGGACCTGCTTGGGGGGTTTCTTATTACACACAATAGGAAAAAAGAAAGCAATGTCCCATTCTGAATTTTAACCTTAGGTTTTGTATTTTACTTGAGTTTCTTTGCATCACCTACAGGAGAACGCTCCAAGAGCTTTCTCCTGAGACACAAGATTACATTTCTAAACCCCTTCCCTGCCAAGTTAAAAGCAGAAACAAAGAAAGACACTTGTAAAAATATTTAATCATTCCAGATATCAGTGTATTTTTAAACAAACATTTCCACTTACAATGCAAACGCATAAAGGATGATGGAATGTAGGAGGAAAACTGGGGATTGATAAAATTCAGACTGCAAAAAAGATTGTCAGTAAAAACACCACTCTTCCCAACAGCACCAATTATTACTTACCTCTGGACTGTTTTGTTTTAATAGGTTTGTGCTTGTATTGGTATCTGCTTGTTTCATTACTGATCCAACAACAGACGATGTAAAATTCTTTTGGACAAAATGGGTTCCCAAATTCACAAAAATAGGCAAACCACCAAATGGCAGCTTCATTTCAATGATGCTATATACCTGCAATAGCCAAAAGTGCTTCTGGCATGCCTTCTGCTAAAAATACTATACAAGTTATATGATACACGTATATTTGCAGATTGCGAGGAACCTACACACAACTTTAGTGGCTCACAGTTCCCACAGTCAATGTCACTTAATATACTTTATTCATACAAGCATTTTGTCCTCAGGATCCTTGGGCACTTCAGTCTTGGTTTTTTTAAATTATAGAAAAGCCTTTTACTCCTGAAGATCTTGTATCCAAAATCCAGAATAGAGCTTTAAGTACAGATATGAATTAAAAATCCTTAACTGTCCTGCTGTCTCATTTTATAGATGATTGAAATCGTAATTTATCTGAGCTGCAGACCTAGTGGACTGTCTTGTAGAGATGCAATATTTGTTTGACAGTGACTTCTGCAGATGATCTGGGAAATGGATTAAAGGGTGAAAGTAAGTCAGTTCAGATAACAGACACTCACAAGGTTTTTCCTTATACCAAGCCATCTATTTAGCCTCCCCAGATTCTAACTGACACTAAATCAGTAGAACTATTTCTTGCACGTCGGTTGTGAGAATGATCTGTATCACAATTACCAGGCTAACTACACTTCATCCACTTTGATCTGTTTGAACACACTCCCTCTGGGCCTCAGGCAATTCTCTTTTTCTTGGGGTGAAATCATGTGTTTCTCCTATTCTCAGACCAGGTGCTAGGTGGCAGTAACCTGTGTATCAGCTGTGATCACCTTAGGTCTGACTTCAGCTGAGGCCCAGTTCTATTCCCTCTGGAGCAATGACAGTGGTAATTAGTGACCAATCAGCTTCCTTAAAGCAAAGTATAATTTATTTAGAACAAAACCATTTCAGATTAAACATTTTAAAAACGATAAATCAGAATAAAGTCCATGCCTACTTTCTCCTACTGCTTACCATTCTGTGAATCTCAGAATGCCCAATTCCAATGGACTCCTTCCTTCCTTGGTTGCTCTATACAGCCTGTCTGCTTAGACAGCTCGCTGATAAGTCACCCCCCCCCAGGCTTTTTAACTCTTTAATCTTTTGATCTTTAGTTCCCAGCCTGGCAAAACAAGATTTATGGCATGTTGGAGACTAAATGTAGGATTCCTGGGTCTAACAGCTGGCCTCCACTGTCCTTGTAGCGTGTATGTAGGTATTCTTATCTGGGAAGTCATTATATTGCAGTCCTGTACAGTTCCCATTGAATTCAAGCATTATAGGCATATAAAACATTCCACTAAGCCAAGTTCAAGTTAGCACAATGCATTCACACAGGACAGTCTTATAACCCAGTACAAAAAAATCTTCCCCTTACTGACCTACTCACATATACAGTGTTCATACCATTATTGCGTATCAGTATTCATAAATCAAGATGTAGCAATTCCTACAGTATTCATAACCATAGTACATATCCACTGTACTGTCAATCTGATTTTGGGAGCTGAGGGACAACAGGAAAGGAGTCCTTATAGGAGTTGAACATATACTGCTTGAAACAAAAGCAAGTCTGTGGCAGCCTAATATAGATCTTACAGTTTTAATCTAAGGGCTCATCTACACTTGGAAATTCAATTTTGATAAACTGTCAAATAAGCCCTAAGAAAGAGACTTTATCATGCAGGATAGAGCTTATTACTGGATAAAGACTTTTTTGATTTGTGAAAGGGTTGGCTTACAATTCAGACTAAAGTATAGTCCTGCTATGTGGAAAAGTATGTAATAGCTACAGTGTAAGGGACCCAAAAATTAAGCAAGTCTCTGCTATTCAAGTTTAGTTTACATCAATAACAGGCCTCAATCAGAAGAATGCTGTCTGAAAAATTCAGTACTTTAAAAAGACTATTATATTTAATGCAAACAAGATTTTAACTTTTATTTTTCCTTTAATGTGAAAGATTTTTGTAATCTAGAACAAGTAAAACCTTGCTATATTACATACGAAAACTATAATACAATATTAAAAAGCAGCACACACACAAGATAATGCAAGTTGCAGTCCATAGGGAAAAAAAATATCTATGCTTCAAATGATGATTGCAAATATAGCCTTATGTGAAAGGTGAACAGCACGAGAAAAAAGTAATTTATGCCCCTTTTTATTTCTTTTTAAAGTATAAATATGGCATGAAAGGTTATTTTTTCTAAAAGTTTTCTTCTTTGCACTAGATATTTAGTTCTTGTCTAGTTTAGACTATTCTATGGACTATTGGGAGCTAGTAGGATCATGACAACATTACAGTACAAAAGTAGTAAAAATCTTACTGAGATGAGAAGTGTCTATTATTCAGACTTTAAAAATTTAATTTTGTTAACACCTACTTAATTCAATCATCTAATGGTTTGGAAAAAATGAATCTTCATTTAATATTTAATAACCTTGTGCCTTCAGTTAAAAGCAGCTTTCAATATACAATGTAAATCCTCAAAGATTTCTGGCGGTTGTGGATGGCCTCTCAGACTGTGTCAGATCTCTTACTGGTACTGGTCTTAAGAGCTGCATTCTGGCTCACAGAAGTGCTGACTGACTGGGACTCAGAGGTGGAAGGTCCTATGGAAGACCATGCTTAATACTTCTATGTCAAAAACCAGCAGAATGAATATATATAGCCTTTCAATTCTTCTTTCTATACAGTAAGGAAGGGAAAATGGGTACCATAAAACTTTTCTGCCCTTTGTTTGCAGGTCACTTTTAGAAGTGTTATACAAAATCATGCATTTATAAAAGATTATATAACAGATTAAAAAAAACCCACCAATTTTTGCATGTCATTCTTCAAATTTTTCTGATTTAAGAGGATACTTCCTTATTAAATAATTTTTCATAAAAATCCAAATCTGTGAGGGTTAATGATGGTTTTACAGTCTTCAGTGATTTTACAAAATGCTCATGTTTCACACTAGTTGCTTCAAGTCCATTCTCTTGTAATGCCTGCAAAGCAGCCTTAAAAAAAACCACAATTTTACAAATCAATCTTTTCAAACTTAAAAATAAAAATGAACATTAGTCCAGTGTTTTGACACAGTACTGTATGATTCAAGATAAAAAAAACAACAATAGGTAAACATTAAATGAAGTCAATTTATCAGATAATACAAATGTTAGTTTGCCTTCTCTATTCTTCTATTCCAAATTAAGTAAATACTGTTTCACTTACTGCATCTAGTTGATTGGGCTAGAAGACAGATCCTTGGTCACTTAATTCTTCAGATATTCTACCTAACCTCCTCCTTCCTCAAATACGTTTCCTCAAATATTTGTGGACACATCTCCCTTGCCCTATTCTTTTTCTTCCCGATTTATCAATGTTAATTTCAGCAATAAGTTCTAGGATGTGTAGTACAAGGGAGCAATTTCTGGATTTTAAGTAAGGCTTTCAAAAGGAAAGTAAGAAGATTAGTACTTGCTCCAGAACTTGAGTAGTCCCTTACTCCAACTAACCTGAAATATTGTCAAAGAAATCTGTCAGGTTTGTTTGGCATTTTTTTTTGGTAAGTTAACCCACGTTGCTTTTCATTCACTCTTAAATGCTACCCTCTGCTTCAAAGAGAGAGTAAACAGATTTACAGATTCTGGTAAATGCAGGTAAGAGGGGCAGAGCCACTTTGGTAGCATGCTCTCAACGTGCTCTATGATTATTGGAGGGGCAGGTCTGGGACACAGGAAGAGAAGGCACTCCTCACAGCATGCTCATCTCCCTGCGCAGTGGATATGTGCCTAAGTTGTTTCTACTAAACAGAAATAATTCAGGCTCCTTACTTGCACTATTTGAAGGTGTTTTTGAGCACTGTGTGTTTGTCCAAGGATAGAAGCTCTTGACAGAAGGAGAGGGACTAGAACTCTTTCTGCAGGACTGGATTTACCCTCCTCCCCAAAAATCCAAGTTAGTAAAGTTGGATCATCTGCCTTCTCCATACAATCTCCTGCAGGGAGAGTTTCCAGGCTCCACAAACTGTCCGCTTCTTCTGGGTGTCTCCACAGGAGCAATTTATTCTAATTTTGCACTTAGTTCAACTTCAATACTAACAGAGCCCTTATTTACTGGGTGTATTTTACTGGAACAACATATGTTTTTCACTCAGCTGGTATAAAATTTTGCTCATTTGTCTTACCCTTTTCATTAAAAATTGAGGAAAAGTACCAAACGTCTTAGAATATTCTATAATTTGGCCTCTCCATCTAAAGTGCTCACTTACAGCTTACTTCACTGATTAAACAAAAAACTCCTTACCTCCTTGCAGAGATTTTCAATATCGGCTCCAGAAAAGAGTTTGGTTTGAACTGCTAGGTGTTCTAATGACACATCAGAATCTATTGGGATTTTTTCTGTGCAAATTTTCAAAATAGAAAGCCTTCCCTATGATACAAGCACATTACAAAAGACAAAGGACAGTCACTTAGGTACTATTTGTTTTATTAAAAGTATTTGTTTAGGCCTATTTTCTGCCACCTTTACTCATGTTGGGTAGTACTTTACTCTGCAAATTCTAAACTCAAATATGCTACAGTCACAAACAAATATTCTACTTGTGACAAATGACTGCCAAGAAACAAAAGCCCCGTTTACCACAGAGTAATCATATGATGCATTCAATGTGGACAGTAAGAAAAATATTTTATTGGCAAAGCTCAATAACGAATACTCAATAGGGCATCTTGACTTGAATTCTGAACACTAGCACTCTGAATGAAAATCTAGTTGGGCTGCCAGGTATCTTACTGGTCTGCAGGACACTAAGCTATAGTTTTGCAGCAATATCCTCACCAATTGCAACAATTTTTACATCATCTCACGACTTCTTAAAATCATGAATCACTGGATCTTGCTGCCTGGTTTTTTTTGGTTTTCTTTTGTACCTTTGTGCTCCCACCCCTAACTTGGTATAGGCTATCTGAAGAACTCGAATGCAAGACAAAGAAAACCCCAAAAGAATGTAGAATGCTCAACTATCCATGCTATGTTGGTTGTTGGTGGGTTTTTTTAGTAGGGAGTTGGCAAGATCTCACAGCAATGCTAATAGTTAAGGTTGTCTAATACTTTCCATTGTAAGTCACTTTCTTCAGTTGCTTATATCTTTACCAACATTTTAATCTTCCAGGGAATTTTTTTTTGCCAGACAAAAGACTATATTTTTATATATATTTTTATTTTGTGTGTGTGTGTGTATGTGTATACACACACACACACACACACACACACACACACACACGATA